CACATGCCCAAGAGACGAGTAACTGTAAGTATAACTGAACGACGGTTCCTGAAGTCTTCAGAATAGCCTTTTTCATGCCGAGAATCGATCTTGATGTCTTGCCACCTCAGACATCTTGTTTTACCCAACATGTTATGCAAAACGTTCGGCAAGCGCATGAAACAAAGCTGTTCCTCTTGCTTTGAGATGTTCGTTTCTTATGTTGCTGACTGTCCACGCAACTTCATCGCAGGTGATCTACGGAAAGGGCTGTGGGACGAACTGTGGCAAATTCCGATTCATGATTTCTCTGAAGGAGTACAGGTTGTTGCAGAATTTTGTGCAAATCGATAGCGATTAGTAGTTCCTACTCTTTATCTTTCGCTACACTCGGAATCCGTTGTTTAAAGCGAATATCTCGTCCCTGACCTTTCTTCCCCTCCGCATCCTCTAGTACATGAATCTTTGTGCAATTTTCGAAGCTCCTTCAACTACGTTTCTGTAACTCTTTGCGTTTCCCCCCAGAATTGCATTGAATTCAGTTTACACAATCTTAATCTACACAGCGCCTTCTCCTTCTTCATAGAATTGCTCGATCTTCATGTTGGATTGGACTACAAACTTCGATCATTCTCGCTGTTTTGCTTTCGTTGATCGGCAACGACAGAACTGTTACACGAAGTGATATAACATTACGGCTCAGTAAAGATAGCACAACGTTTTTTAGCATGAAACCTAACGTCTCCGGTCCTAGCTCGAATTTCTTCAAGGCCTTGCCGAAGCATGTGGTTGCGGTTGTTCTACGGTGCAACAAAGTCGGTAGATCTTCTGGTTTCGCATATGCCAATGACGATTGCTTTGATGTCCGTTTCCGCCACTTACCCGTTGACAAATGCATCACAACAAATGGCGTTTTTGTACCATGTTGAACGGCGCAATTCTTCATGACTTCCCGCGTCCGTCTACCCACCGCATCTTGTGTTGCAAAAGGCCGACGCTGTAGCATGCACTTACGGCACTCGGTTTCCATCACCGTTGAGCTCTTTCGGGGGAATATGTGTTAGGCAGTTCACTTGGGGTGCCAGCCTTCGTCGACTAGTACCAACAAAAATAAAGCACATTGTGAGGTGTTGGTGGTGGGAGTGTTGACATCGCTGGACAGTGTTCGAATTACGGCCGTCTCAAGCAACCGGTCGAGGATAGCATTATTTTAATTTCTCCTTTTCAGTTCAAATCAACAGAGAAAGATGGACCAAGACGTGTCGAAATGTTTTTCAGTTTTTCAGACTTCTCTCATTGACAAGCCTCTCCT